TATAGCATGCGCATGTCGACTAGCTGGGGTTTGAATTTTGAAGACGAACTTTGTTGGTCTTTAATTAAATTTAGTTGGATATAAAGTACAGAATAATACAATTAATGCCAATCATAGAAAATGCATGGTTGGTGCAAAATTGATAGCCACTAACATATGCTGTGCTCACTGTGTAGGATCAGTATTTTATATATAAAGTAACTCTCCATTATTTGTGAAATGCTTAAATAATTAATAGGACCCCCATGTGAGCACACTATCACTTATAAAGATCTGCCATTTATGTTACTTTAAAATATCTATATCCAACGGCATTTTCAGAAAATTTTGAATGCAGAGCCTCTTTCTTTGAAATGAAGTAGCCTTATATTCACACCATATTATGGTATACTGCATTTAGTTTGTTATAACTATAACACTACTCCTATGATTTCATTTTAATTTGTCACTCCTAAACTTGGCCATTTTGAACATTGAGATTTCATTAAGAATAGAAAATATTTTACGACTTCAAGAGCATTGTTTCACTACCTCTGCTAATTAATATAAGATCCAATTGATTAATTTGAAAAGACTAAAAAAGATACTAAATTATTTAATTATAGTATATGTTAAATTAAAACGATAAATATTAACAAATTAGTTTGGTTAAAAATTATAAATATAATTAAGTAAGTTAGTAACTTTTTTATTCTTTTCAAATTAATTGACTGGTTCTTATATTAAGAACCAAGGTAGCATAAAAGTATTTATATATTATTAACAAAGTTCAAATATTAACAACATGATTTAATTTAAACATTTGTCTTTACAGAGTGAGTTAAGTTATTACTAATATCTACTGTTGTCAAACTCGCGAGTTGATTCTTTAAGTTTAATATTTTTACGTTTTCAACTAACAAAATCATGTCGATTCAGTTTTAAACTCGTGATAATTGTAAACTTGATTAAACTTACGAGTTCATTTATCGAATTTATCGTTTTTACGTTTTAAGCTTACAAAATTATGTTAACTCGCTTTTAAACTTGTATTAAATTTTTGGATTTGATTATATTTAGTGACTTGATATATGAATTTTATAGAAATTTCTTAGTTGAATGTGATAAATTATGAACATTGATGGATATAATTTCAATTATTTAAATTTAAAATATATTTAAATAAAATTGTTCTCATTTTTTATATATTGATTATTTGATTATATACTTTTAATACCAGTTTATTAATAAAAATAAACTTACTAATTCACGATCTAAGCTTACGATCCGAGTTTATATCATTCTCATAAGTTTGTTTAAACTCGCGAGTTTGACAACCTTGACTAATAACCATTCTAACTTCAATGTCGATGTATATATTTATATATATAGGCCTAAAATAATTAACACGGAACATGTTTAATTAGTATTTGTGAAACATATATGCTATACTTAAATAGAAGCACAAACTTATTAATAAAAAGTCATGTCTCAAATGGAACGAAATTGGGAAAAGGAAAATTTTTTGGGGAAAAAAACGGAAAGATGATTGAAAATTTGTGTGAAAGTATTATAAAGCGCCTATAAAAGATTTCCAAATTTGTCATTATCCTTGCTTTCAGGCTGCAATTAATTTTTCCCCTTTCACATGGAAATTTATCTCTCTTTCTTGCTTTTTCTTTTTTTAAGGAAAGGAATTAGATTTAAACCGAGGAAAAAGACATAGATACTTAAAATTTACCTACTTAAAAGTACTTAGCTTGTTTCGAATAAAACCAAAACATGTGAATTATTTAGACACTATTTACTTAAAGTACATAGGAAAGGAATTTGATTTAAACCAAGGGGAAAAAAAAACTCGTCTCTTGATGAGCTTATCAATTACATAAGATTCTTAATATTCTTTTCATTATATCGCATTTGCTTTTCCTATTTTTTTTTGATACAGTGAAAGAGAAAAGAAAGAACAACCTCATGCGCCTAATTTGTTGTTTCCAAAGATTCTTTAACAACTTTAAATTTACACAGTTTCCACATCTGCCAACACTATATAAATATATATATATATATATATATATATAGTTTTCTTCACGAGCACTCAAGCCACCGCATAATAAATATAACACAAATGTTTTTTTTTTGTTGTCTTTAATTTATTATAACTAGATATATTTCCCCAGATATTACGCACTGCTTGTTTGCATTAAATCAGAGTGCAAAGAAAAATTGGAGAAAAGTCTCTCATTAAGAATTTTATTTGTGAGAATGACTTAATAAATCATAGTACATATACTATATGGAATCAATTTCAGTGCTTATCGTCCATGTTTGGCATCAAAAAAATGCCATGATGCTTATCAAATCATCCCAAAAATTCAAAATTAGTTTTAATGGTCTATATTTAAAATTTTCAACTAGTAATTTCTAAATAAAAAATTATTTTCTTAAAAAATTACAATGAAGATATTATATTTATTTTGGAATATGTACATACTAAAAGAAATACATTTTTTGAAAAACAAAAATATTAAATATTAAATCTACCATCGATATTAAATTTGAATAGTTAGGATTTAATGAACATCACGATGGTCGTCGCTATGATAATTATTGAAATCAATGCCTATACTATTTGTATACAAAATTTGTAAAGTGCTAGTATTTTTTTAATAAAAATTTATCAAGTCTGATACTTCTCACCAATAATATTTTTAATAGGAAAATTTTCTGCATTTTTTCACATAAAAATAATTATTTGTGAATTTATTTTAAAGCAATCCATGCTGTGCAGAGCAAAGGGGGGAAAAAAAACTTTTGTATGGCAATGCGCAGGATGAAAAACCAGCAGGATTAGTTATCAATCAGACTTGATAACAAAGCTAATTATTCCCAGCATCGTCCAACAAAGATGCAGAGCAGAAGATTAATTATGTAAAACTAATAATTATAGAAGCCCTCCACACGTTGTCTCAGTCACCTCAATTTTCATCATCATTTGATTAGAGTTAAAACTTAGAAGTGAAAATATGGCATTATGGCTTAACTATAGCAAGCAAATATATATATGAGAAACCTAATTATTCCAGTTTCCACGAAAGCTTCTTTGCAATACAATCACAATGGAATATTCTCATAGCAATGGGGTTGGATCCAGTGATGATCCATCACACAGCCTTATAAATCAAAACAGCTTTCATATTTACTCCATGGCTTCCGTTTTTAGTACTTTATTGGTACTTCAAAACTGAAACACAGTAATTTAATTTTCAAAAGAGAAAAAAGAAAGGCAAAAACACTGACCAAACGGTCAAAACAGTGGTCAAAGATGAAGGCATGGTGGTGGGGAAGAATCTAATGAGCGCCGAAAGGTACAAAGGACAGGGTCATCGTCGTCATCATCTTCTTTTCTTCAATCCTAAGAAGAGGGTTTATTAACATGAGACAAAAAAAGATGAAAACTTTCTTATTCTTTTCCCATTTTTTCTTCATTCTATTCCCTCGATCCTTTTCCATGTTCATGTTTTCTTCCTCTTTAATTTTTGAACTCGACATGAGTTGTTGCAAGTTCAAAAGTGAATAAGGGGGACCCCATTTCAAAAAGCTCACAAACAATGTATATATATATATATATATATGCACAGAGAGAGAGGGTTTAAAGGTTTCTTAGTTTCTGTCCCTTATTGCATATATATGATCATGATGATCTAGTTTTCCTTTAACTTTTGAATTTGGATTATCTCACACACACACATATACTTTTGGTCAAAATGGTGCTCGTCCTTCATAATTAGTGGCCCCTAATAAGTTTAACTTTCTAATGTGAAAAGTAAGGACGACCAATTATTGCAGCCTCAGTTCAAGTCGTGTATGGTGCTGATGAGAAGATTCACTTATAAAATTAAACTCATGCACTATGACTTACACAGTAAGAGAACAAAAAGTTGGTAGTAAAATAGTACCTTACTGGTTCGTGCCATTACTAACGCTTTCTCTTCGTAATATTCTCTCGATTTTTTTGTTAGCTCTGTTAACTTGGCACAGGTGTTTTTTTATCAGAGATAATCATATTTAAAACACTGTCAGACATTAGATTTGAACACCTCTCTTCACCAGAATTCAAATATTGATTCACTAGGTTATAAAAAATTAGTTCTTTCTATTAAATTCAATTCCTACTAGTATCTTTTCAATAGTAAATAGTACTATTCTTTTGAGTCATTGAACCACTGATGTGAGCAGAGATTGTGTACGAAGCAAGGTATCAGGGTAAGCATCGAACACTTTATATTTCATGTCCTGGATTCCTCATTAGCGATCTGTGCCTTTTCTCTGTTATTCTACGACGTTGATGAACATTATCCATGCATCAAATCTGGTCTGTTTCAGGTGAAATGTAATTGGAGTTCGCGCCTTCACAATTAGTATATATGTTGAATTATAGTGGAATCACATAAATGAAACTTAATTTCAAAGCAGCGAGTAAAAGTAATCATTTTCTTTGGACGTACCGTCAAAGAGCAACATGCTGGCCACCACAAAGTACAGCCTATTGGACAAGCATGTGAGAAGAAAAAATAATAATAAATCTAAAGTGTAAACTAAACGAACGTATGTTGATTTTTTTTAAAAGAATTTTTAAAACATAATTCCAACTATTTTTTACCACAAGATTGTATGCTTTATATTTTGCATGGGGTCATTTGAGTTACATGATTCGCATATTCACATATTCACATGTCGATTGATTGTTGTTGTCCATTATCATAATATTTAAACATGATAAATAAAGACGAGCCGACGTGGAGGGTTAATATTAATCACCAGAGACTTCAATATATCTCGTTATACATTCAATCTGAATTCTGAAAATTATTTTAATATCGTAAAACAATCATGAATCACAATTATAATTTTACTGGGAAAAAAAATTAAAACGATCAGATTAAAGTTGAGCTTAAATTGGTGTTAATTGAATTGAATTCCCTGAAAAGGCTGAACATATAAGGATCTGGATATACATATCCGCTGAGAGGAAAATATGGACGATAGATATTTTTCATTTTTTTTTTCCACAATGAAGGAAAAAGTTGGTAGGGGCACCAACAAAACGAAAGGATTACAAAGGGATACCTTTCCTATTATACCCAAATAAAACATATCAGTACAGTAGTAAAGGAATGATAAGAACCAAAAAGCAAAAGGCAAGAGAGAATGAGAAAAAAGCAAAAGCTAAATCCAACACTTTGACAAGACCACCTTTGTTAGTACTGTGTCAGCCCTCGTGAAATTATCAGTCACCCCTTCCCCACCTCATCCTCATCCTCATCCTCATCTCCTTCCTCCCGCGCCTCTGCATGTTTAAACCTTAAAACCCAGATTCATAAACTAATCATATCCACGTTCCCGCGCAGATCAGTTCATAAAACCTTATCCCTTTCACACAGTCTATATATATAGATATACACACCAGTAGTGTAATAATCGTTATTTGTGTCCCATAATGATTCGTTTCATGTTTGGCAGAGAGGCATAGGGGTGGGTGTGTGAGAATGTCCTCCCCTTTCATGATTATGCACAGATTCTCATTTCTGCATGCAAAAGAGGGAGCTACATATAAAGAAAGCTTATTCCATGCCAAAAATTGGGGTTTGAAAGAGACTGGTTTTTGCATGGGTTTGGAAGGTGTGCAGGGTAGGTCCAATGATGCTCCAGTTTCCATAGCCAGAGGAGCTTTCATAACTAGGGTTACTATTTAAAGCAATGGGCGTGGCCAATGGGATCATCAATGAACTCGAACCGGACGAAGAATCACCGCCATTATTATTATTATTCCCACTTTGTTGTTGCTGCTGCTGAACAAACATGCTCGTACTGGAGGGAGTAGTGGTAGAGAGGTCCACGTTGAAGGGTAGGACAGATGTTACGGAGCCATTGGTGGAAGAAGATGGTTGGATCAAGGAAGGGTTCTTGTTGTAACCAGCGAGAACGGAGGACCAGTAATGATGATCTGAAGTGTCCTGTTTGATGGGTATGGCGAATGTGAGAGAATTGTTAGAGCTTGATGGCGGTGGTGGAGGTGGTTGGGATGCGAAAGTGACGGAGGAGTTGGCGGAGGAGAGGTCTCGGTCGTCGACGGACCGAGCTCCGTCGGGGCTCTTGGTGTGGTCGGACGGAGAAGAATCCGTCGAGTTCTTGGTCTTGCCGGAGAGTCCACCGATGGGAAGGCTACTATTCGCAATGCTCTTCACGTCGTAACGGCTCATGTCGAAGTTGGTCACCGCATTTATTCCTCTGAACTTTATGGCCGCTATATCGTACGCCTCCGCTGCTTCCTCTTGGGTGCCTATTTTGTTGAGATACCATTTAAAAAAAAAAAGGGGCAAATGTGTCATTTTCCATAGGAAGATTTGTATCTCACATGTATAAATTAATTAAATTATTAAATGAAATCTATGTGCGCGTGATATGTACACAAACTGTCACCAAGACATATGATTAGTTTGGTTTAGGTGTATCCGATACATGATATCAGATCTAATTTAGATGGCAAAAAAAAAAATCTAATTTAAAATTATATATATTAATAAAAAAAAGGACTCACTGAAAGTGCCAAGGTAGAGGTCTTTGTTTCCGGCGACTCTGCCTATTCTTGCCTGCCATCGGCCATGCTGGTGATGTCTGAGACAACAAAGTTGAAATTTTAATCCCACAAATACACACACACACACATATTTATATGTATATGATTTTTTTTTTGGTGACACATTGTAGTTTTCATTTGGAATCAAAAGATATGGTGCCAAAAATGCTAGATGCCAAAAAGATTTGGACTATACCTCGTCACTCCTCTATATATTGAGGCGCCTCTCGAGAATCCACTACTCCTCCTAAAATATAAATTAAAAAATTAATATATATTTATAGAAATACATTTTTTTACCGGAATATTTATAGAAATACATTAAATGCATGGAAAAAGAGGGGTCCAAAGAATGCAAGAATTTACCTTCGAAGAGAAGCAACAAACTCCTGCCTTGTCATGTTCTTCATCTCTTCCAGTTCCTTCTGGTAGTTTGAAATCTAACAAAAATAGACAAAAAATAATGAATAAAACAAAAAAAATTGTAAATAAGCAAAAAAAAAAAAAAGAAGGGCATTGCGTGTTGGGCTTACCGGAAAGTTGGTGGTGGTGGTCGGACCCCAGTACTTGAGAGCAGCGAGATCATAAGCTCTGGCTGCCTTCTCTTCCTTATCGTAGCCACCTGCGAATATATATCACAATAATAACACAAACAAGAAGAAACAAAAACCTCTTTTAGCAAAATCATTAGCCTTGTGTAGAATCTGAATCTAACAAATTTACTAAATAAAGCTTTTTCACAGTAGCAACATAATGACGCTTGCTGTTTTTTTTTCCCAAAAAAAAAAATTGCTCACCCAAATACACTGAATCATGATCAGAATCAGGCATCGTTCGTCAGTCAGGCCCAAACCAAAAGCACCATCACAAGAAGCACCCGTCAGAATCTTCAGACTCAGAAATTTAAAATAATAATAATAAATTTTCTCTTTTCAGACGAAAGATCCTTAATCTTAATCTGATGACATAAAGCGAGTAATCAGATCCATTGAAATGGCTATTCGTTATTGGGATTTGAGAGGGAGACACATTCTTTTACTCCCATTTATTCTGGTCCCGTTTATATAGCGAACCGTGTTTGTCAAACCCAGTGTTTCCAGTCCCAGATCTAGTAGACCCGGTTCGACTCAGTTTTAAGAAACCCTAGAGGACGCGATCGTCAATTCCAACATTACCTTGTCTTCCTTTCCGACTTTGCCCTTCCCTTCTGCAACTGTTGTCCCATAGATGAGCCTCGTATCTTCCCGTCCATCTATGCCTGCACTTAAATACTTCAAGTTCATTTTCACACTAAAAACAAATTTAGATAAACAAATAATATCGGTATGTATTTTTTCTTTTTTAGTTTTATTGGGGGGTTCTTATTATTCTTATTGGAGTTATGATAAATCGAATCCCCACCGTGTGACGCCGCGGTAGATGGAGGTGCGTTGGCCAAAGGTGTCGACGCTCTTCTTCGGGGACGGCTCAGCCGGAATCAGCTGCGTCTGTTTCTGTTGCGGCTCGGCTTGCCCTCCTGCGGGAGCGAAGCCACGAAGGAAGCTGGCGGCTATCGTCTTCAGCTCGGAATCATATATCTCGTTCTCCACCACCGTGCCCAGCGTGTTGTCGGCAGGGAACTGCGTAGGCGCAGGAGCAGTTGTGGCGGCGGCTGAGGCGGCAGCAGTTCCGCCAAGGAAGTCCTCGAACTTAGGGCCCCCAGTGAACATGGAGAGGCTGGTCGGTGCTGCTGCGACCGCACCATCCTTGGCTTCGGCAGGGGCGTCGACGGTGTGGTTACCTGAAACGTTTTTTGCAGAAATTTCAGCAAATAATAATTCACAGGAATTAATTATGGGGTGAAATAAGGAAAACAAGAGAGAGATAGAGATACCTGTGAGAGAGAGAGTGGGGGTAGGGGAAGAAGAGGTGAAGGAAGGGAAAAGAGGGAAGTGTGAGGAGGAAGATAAGGGGTTGGAGAGAGAGAAAGCGAGCCAGTTAGAGGAGGAGGAAGAGTCCATGGTGGTGGTATTGGATGATGTGTATAACTGTGAGAGACTGACTTTGGGAAGTGGGATGAACCGGAGGTATCTTCGCTTTTAGGGAGAGAACGAGCCTGAGAGAGAGAGAGCGTGTGTGGGAGAAGTTGAAGAAGGGGGACGCAGAATATGACACAGATATAGAGGCGGTCTTAAGAGAGAGGGGGAGGGAGTTCTGCTAAGTTGGTACCTGCTGAGCCTTGCACGAAGAACGAGGGTCTTCACCATGGTAACTCTAATATCATCAGCCAGACCTTAAGTGATGTTTAAACTAAATGACACACTCTTTCTATCCGTGCCATCTTCATCTAGAAGAGTTCCATCATTATAATTAGAATTATAAATCACTTAATAAGACATCCCCCCTCATTATAAAGTTTAAATATTGCATGGTTTACAAAATGATTAAAATTGATTAAAGATAATAAATATTCTAAAAATATATATTTTTCAAATAAACCCTTGTTTTTAAGTGGGTTGGTGTGTGAGAAAAAAAAATAGAGAGAGAATGCATGTGAAAAGATAATGAGAGGAAGTGTATTAATCAGAGATGTATTTACTATTTAAATAAACCTACAGGAGATCTTATTAAATGAGACAAATCATTCAAAAAAAATAGATCTTGTAATAAGAAATGGAACTAGTATTAATTAATTTTTTTATAATATAAAAAATATTATATTTAAATATACATATAAATAAAATTGAAATTTTCTTTTATTTTCAAATAAAGTCTGTAACTTATTACCTCTCATTAGTTTTGACGAGGTGGCAGGGATGCTATATTCCAAAATTAACAATTCAGAACAATCTCATTTTGTTGCTATAGATACATGTTAGTGTATATCATCGATATATAATATGTCTCATAAAGTTACATGACATCCACGTTAACAAAAGTTTACACGAGTTAGGAATAAGTCATATTGTTTCCCACTTTAATTTGTGAATGATAATATATATATTTGTGCATATATTAGTCATGGAAACAAATATTTTTATTTTATCATAACGAGACAATTCAAATGTGAAATTTACTATATTACCTACTGGTCTTAATATAAAATTTAATTTGTATTTACACTACAAATTAAAACTTACATTAAAGATTAGAAGTAATAAACGAATAAATTGATATATTAATTAACTGTATTTGTCCGCCTCGACGCGATGGGAGATACTGACAATGAGACGATGTTAGCGGCCTTTCCTAACGTTATGTTAAATTGCATGCCGAAAAGTAAATGCTACTTGCAGTTTATAAAAACCTTTTTTTTATTTTAGTTTTAAATATAAAATTTTAATCTATTTTGTCTCTCATATTTATTATTTTCTTAAGGTAGTTATTATAATAATGATAGTTTTAACCAATACACTTGATTAACAAGAATATTTTTTATATCTTAGAAACGTTTATGATGTGCTAATCTCTAGATGGCATGGAAGGATAACAGGTTATTAATTACTACCTAACTTGACTTTTAATTATAATATTTCAATTCATTTTATTTATTTATTTTTTCTCAAGATAATCTACATAGTAATGGCAATTCTGCTAATACATTTAACTAGTAAATATTTTAGGAAAGACAATATCTGTTTATTACCAATAACTAATTTAACTAATTTTTTTAATTTACTCAAATCAGTCAATTAGCTCTTATATTAAAAACTGAAAGTAATAATATTTAGTATAATTAAATACTACCTCCAGTCCTTAATATAAGACTCTATTTGACTTTTATTTTGGTCCTAAATATAAGAACCCAATCCATTTTGTCTCTCATATTTATGTATTTTTTTCCAAGATAGTCCTTCTAGTAATTGTAGTCTTAACCAATATAGTTGATTAGTAAGGATATTTTAGGAAAAGCAATACCTTTTTATTATAAATAACTAACTTAACTTCTTTCCTTAATCTCTTCAAATTAGTCAACTAGGTTTTATAATTAGGACCGGAGGTAGTAACTGGCAAGAAGTTTCTAATAAAAAAAATTAGTTTGAAAGAAAAAACGGTGAGGGTTTTGCTTTGCATGAAAAATTAGTGGGCATTTGCTTCAGAATAATGGTGAGTACTTGCATGCAAATCGCAAAATATACGGAACTGATCAAATATACATGTGTGAATGATCAGGAGCACGGTTCAGCAAGAAGGCATGTTTTTTGATTAATTTCAGCTTCATATTTCAACTTTAAACACTAGAATAGCATCTAAACGAATAATTTACACTAAAATATTATACAGTGATGGCATGAATTTTGTAAAGCGTAAAATCCGAGGAAAAAATATTGATAAACGAGGTTAAGGGATTTATAATTTTAATAAAGTTAGTAAGGGTAAATATTCAAAATTTATAATGCTCACTTGTACGAATTTTCCCAAAATCAGTGGAGACATTGGCGCGCCCACCCTGTGCAGCATGTACCCTGCGAAGTATGTAGGTATGCCTTTGTTGCATGCTAGTACCATTCTTAATTTAAAATCTAATTAATTAATTTAAAAAAATTAAGAATGTTAATTAAATTAGTTAGTATGATATGTTTTTTTATAAAACACCTTAAATATTTTTCTTAATTTTCTCCCCCTCTCCTCCTTTATTATTATTAGGGAATATGAATGGGGCTAATTTAAAAAAAGTTGGTGAACATATAAAATAAAACTTACATATAGGACCAATATCAACTCTCCAATTAAGTCATACAATATGTTATATGAAGCACTACATAAAGTTAGCTACACTATAACCCATGCATATAAAATGTTTTTACTATTAATTTTATATGCTAATTATATATAATAACAATAATATGTACTTTTTAATTATATTGATGACTACCTATTAGCAAGCCCTTCTAATGAGAAATCAAAGCTAGCTACACAAAGATACACTGTCCTGTTGTATCTCACTGTGATAAGTGCTTATAAATACTTTTATACAAGTCAAGACAAAATTCATCTCACATTTTAACTTTGTATTTTATAAGGCATGATTAAAAATACATTTTAAAAAGATTCAATCGTAATTTCACGCAAGCCGGTAGATAATTATAGAGTATTAGTAGTGAGGCGGTTGGTGTATGATTGTGGGGAAGCAGGACGGAAGAAGAGGGGACACGATGACCCATGAGGAGCTGCCATTCTTCACAGTTCTCTCTTTTTCTTTATCTCTTTTATGTATGCTTTGCCCTTTCTTCGTTTCATTCTCTCTGCTTTTGAACATCCCATTCTGATCACTCCCTCCCTTTCTTCTTCTTTTCTCTCTTTTCTTTGACTCACTTCAACCTGCCTTTCCCGCCATTTTCATTACATTCTTCATTTTTTTATCCTTCCTTCAATCCTTACGCATAGAGATAGAGAGAGACCAAACACGTCTCAACTTTGAACCATACATATTTTATAATTTGATCCTATCCTATAATCATTGATGTTCTTCTTTTTTTTTTTTTTTTTAACCTTTTGAATATAAAATAATTTTAAAAAACTTGGAGTGGAGATTTAATTGGGAACACCTGGCTATGTAAATAAAATCATATATTTAATTAAACGGAATTAAACTCATCAGCTGGATTAGCACAGAGCTAAGTTAGATTGATTGATTCTATACTTTTGGCCAAAAGATTGATTGATTGAATGAGTTAATTTGGAAGAAGAAAAAAAAGAGAAAGGAATTAAAGAAAGAAAATGTGATTTGGGCTGTGAGATGAGATAACAAAAATTGGCCCCGGCAGTAGCATACGGCAGCACCGAACTGTGGGGACACGTGTAGCAAGTATCCATGTCCTAAACAAAGAGGTGGTGACACGTGTTGAATCAGTGAGGAGCATGTATCTACAGGTGGAGCATTTTCCCCATTTATAAGTAAATCATGATTGGATTCGTGAGTAATTAATAAGCCACTCTTACTTCTTATAAGAAGCAAAATATTGCGTTTTGCATGCTCCCTATGCCCATTTTTTGACATCCTTTTAACTAAATTACACAATTTTAAAAATTAGCTAAAAATAATTAAAAATAATAAATATGTTAAAGTTGATTTTTTTTAAGTACGTTCTTATTTAACAAAAAAGAGAAATACCATTAATGAGACAAAACATGAAAGAAAATGAAATGTGAGAAAAAACGATGAGAAAAAATAAAAAGCTGATTCAGAATAAAATTGGTAAAAACGCATTTAATATTTTGATACTTCTGAAGAATATCTTTGTAAAAAAATCTAATCGATTTCCATCTAAATTAGTAATGTTATCTCTTCTTTTTTTTTTTGTTGACCAGGAGTAATATTAAGAACCGTGGCGAGGGGAAGGCATAATGCAATGCCTCCAAACAGAAGGAAGGCTCCCCCTGCAACAACAGTATGGCACCGCCACCTCACGCGAAAACCAGAGACGTTCATGCACATATACATACCAACCATCACATTTGTCGCCATATTTATTAATTAATAATAATAATAATAAATGTACACACATATAAATAGGCTCATATATATCTACCCTTTTAATTTATTGCTCTCGCATTTATAAATAGGCTCATTTCCCTACCTACAACGAACTTTCTTCTTTTCATTTCTAGAAACCTCTCTTCATCATCGCTTTAATTTCTACGTAAATACGTACAAACTTGCAAGTCCATCGTTGGTATATATAGCACATATATCGAAGGTACATGCACACGGAATATTACTCTATGTGCATTTAATATTATAATAATAAATATATCAAAATAAAATGATCGCGAGTGGATGCTTTTTTTTTTTCCCCTGTGCTTATCATGTTCAAACCGGTACCTTCACACTTAAATTAAAAAAAAACCTTAAGATAAGTGTTTAATATCAATTGAATCATAAGAGTCCGATAAGGAGGGCTATTAATTAACTTATGGGATTTGGATTGATACAAGGTTTGCATAATCATGAATCTGAAGCATTATTAGATTCCGTGAAATCCAATTTGGTGAGATACTATCTTATCATTATTGGATCATCATTCTCAGTATATATATTACTTTTATTTTTAATATAAGAGTTAGTTTGATATTCAATTTAGTCATAGACATAAGATTCTGATATACTTTATCTCTCATATTTATCTATTTTTTTAA